GCCGCAAACTTCAGGGCGAAACCTTGTGCTGGCAACGACCCCCCAGGCAGCACAACATGCTCCGGCCAGGTGGGATCTTACGGAACCGGTGGGATAGATGGGCTGGCATTGACCAACTGGTCCCTATGCAGCACCAGACTAGATTTTCCAAGTCACCACGCCCGGCAGATGAAGCACACACATCGCTCTGCTCCAACACCAGATCTGTCATTTCTCTCACCATTGCCCTTGAAAAGGCTGATTTAAAATCAAGTCCATGAAAGCGGACGCATCTCACTAATTTCAGGTTGCTAGGCAACCCATCACCTCCACTGCCTCTCCCCTGTTGCTTGGGAGATGGGGGAAGCCAGGGGAAAAGGGTGTACCTTTTCAGTCAGTTACCTCGACATTTCTGTAGAACAGAATAAGGGCTAGGAGAACTGTTAGCCGTCTGTGGACTTCATGTGGACTCCTTTCTCCAGACCAACTTCCTAGTCCGGCTCTTCAGTTTTATTTCTATAAATAAACTAGTTAGAATTTCAACGAATGCCAATGGATATCCCCTTCCTCCTTGGAAATGTCTCCTGTGACAGCTAAGGTTTTCTTCACAGTCATCAAAGGCCTGGTCCTCTCAGAGATGTTGGCATGTGTCTCTGCCGCGGTGGCAGGGAGCTGGATGGGAAGCGAGGCTGCCAGGATTAGAACTGGCACCAATATGGGATCCTGACGCTTTCGAGGTGAGAACTTTAGCCGCTAGGCCACCGTGCTGGGCCCAAAAAGGTGTTTATTTATTTGAAAGGTAGAATGTCAGAGAAACACAGAGAGGGAGACATCCTTCATCCACTGGTTCACTCCTCAGATGTCTGCTACAGCTAGGGCTGGGCCAGGCTGAAGCCAGGAGCACCAGGAGCACCAGCTGGGCCTCTCCCATGGGTGTCAGGGACCCAAGCACTTGGCTCTTCATCTGCTGCTTTCGTAAGCGCATTAGCAGGGAGCCAGATCTGAAGCAGAGGGGTGAGGACTCGAACTGGCACTCCAACAAGGGGCAGCTTTACCTGGGGCTCCACCATGCAGGCCCCTCAAACCTCTTCCTGGTGCCTGCTCACATCTTTGGCACTTCAAAACAGCTTGCTTAGCATCGGTGTTAACAACAGTGCCAGTTTTCAAGGTCTCAACAAAGTTGAATCCATTTTGTGCTACGGTCACTGTCCCTGGGAGAGGCTTGCCAGCCGTGAGCTGTCCACCACCTGTGGTTCAGGAGGCCAGGCCCTTCCCGGCTGGCAGCTTTTCTTCCTTGGCCCTTAAGGTCCGTGCATGACGTAGGTGACCAACACAGAAAACGGTCTCAGTGTTTTCTTAGGCCCTGGCCAGGCTGGGTCAGCTCCCTGCATCCTGCATCCCCAGCACCCATCGCTTGATTCCGTCCAGAGGGGTGCTGGGAAACAGAGACATCCTCATTACAACGCCGTGGTGTGGGAGGGCTCCTGGGGCCAGCGGGCCGGCTCCGTGCAACAGGTTACCTCGGTGCAGGTAAATCACTGCTGGGATTGTTCACCTCTGACGTCTGGAACATAAATTGCACTAAAAATACTGAAGACTTCGGAGGTTTGCTTCCTCTGTCTCGCTTTATTCTAGAACAACAATTGCTTATAGCAATTGCTATGCTTAATAAGCTGAGTATGACTTCACGGTTACAACAATTAGTCCCCATTAGCAAACATCCCTTTCTGAAATAAAGCTTACAATTCCAAACCCAGGCTTTTGACTGAGTGAAACTGGAAATGGTTAGCATTTATACAGATAGGAACAATTTTATGCATTAGACATTGTAATGGTTTGAGTATAGTTTTAATCAGACGGTTTATTTTCCAAGTGTCTGTGAGATGGAACGCATTTTTACTGTTTTGTCTGTTCTCAACATCTGCTTTTCAGAGCTTGCTACTGAGCTCTGTTAACTACAGCAACGACACCTTTTCAAATGAAACTGCTTCATTTGAAAGGCTGAGAGAGAGAGAGTCAGAGAGAGAGAGAGAATCTTCCAGGTGCCATCTCTCTCTCCAAATGCCTGTAACAGCCAGTGCTGGGTCAGGCCAAGCCCAGAGGTCTCCCACATGTGGGGCAGGTGTCCTAGGGTTCCCACTGCCTCCCAGGTGGCACCAGAAAGTGGAGCCGAGACTCCAACCCAGGCACTCTTGGCATGCTGGCATCCTCACCAGCACTGATGTCTTAACTGCTCTGTCAAATGCCCGCCTCTCTATGTTTTTTTTTTTTTTTAAGATTTATTTTTATTATTTTTTCATTGGAAAGGCGGATATACAGAGAGGAGGAGAGACAGAGAGGAAGATCTTCCGTCCGATGATTCACTCCCCAAGTGAGCGCAACGGGCCGATACTATGCCAATCCGAAGCCAGGAGCCTCTTCCGGGGCTCCCACGCGGGTGCAGGGTCCCAAAGCTTTGGGCCGTCCTCGACTGCTTTCCCGGGCCACAGGCAGGGAGCTGGAAGGGAAGCAGGGCTGCCGGGATTAGAACCGGCGCCCATATGGGATCCCGGGCGTGCAAGGCGAGGACCTTTAACCACTTGCGCCACCGCGCCGGGCCCTGGTTTTTTTTTTAAATATACATGTATTTATTTTATTTGGGAGACAGGAAAAGGCAACAGGACAGGCCAACAGAGCTCTCAGCTGCTGGTTTGCTTCCTAAATGCCCGCTGTAGCCATGGCTGGCCCAGGAGGCACGAACTACATCCTGGTACAGAGCTGTTGCAGCCGCTTGGAGTGAACCAGTGGACGGAAGATCTTTCAGTCTCTCCTTCTCTCTGTGAATCTGCCTTTCCAATAAAAGTAAATAAACATTAAAAAAAAAAAAAGTCTTCCCATAGGCCGAGGCAGAGCTAGTTAGCAGAGTTAATGATGGACAGTGAGAGGCATGGCTTCTAAAGGAATGGTCCTTCAGCAGTTACAGTGGATTGGTTTCAATTTCTCTAAGTGTGATGCTTAAATCTCTACAACTTAGAGCAAGTAAGTGAGAGTCACTGGGCCAGGAGGATGTCAAAGGCCAGGGCAAGAGGAGTCCCTAGGGCCACGTCTCCCCAATGGCCTCAGATTTCCACAGAGGAGGAGACCCCTTCCATTTCTTATTTAGAATCTTAAAAGGAATTCATGAGGGCAGGCAAGCCTAGTGGTAAGCTACCAGTTAAGGTACTGCTGTTGTGGCACAGCCAGTTAAGACCTCCCACCTCCAAGATGCCAGCATCCCATCTGAGTGCATGTTCCAGTCTTTGCTGCATCACTTTCAATCCAGCTGCCTGCTAATGTGCCTGGGAAAACATCCGAAGACGTCAAATATTGGGTCAACTGCCAGCCCCTGGGGCAGACCCAGCCTTTCAAATAAATAAATGAATTAAAAAAAAAAAAAAGAAAGAAAGAAAGGCCGGGCGTGACACGGTAGCCTAGTAGCTAAAGTCCTCGCCTTGCAAGCATTGGGATCCCATATGGGCACCGGTTCGTGTCCGAGATGCCTCACTTCCCACCCAGCTAGTGGCTTGTGGCCTGGGAAAGCAGTAAAGGACGGCCCAAAGCCTTGGGACCCTGCACCTGTGTGGGAGACCCAGAAGAAGCTCCTGGCTCCTGGCTTCAGATCAGCTCAGCTCCAGCTGTTGCAGCCAATTGAGGAGTGAATCAGTGGACAGAAGATCTTTTCCTCTGACTCTCCTATTTGTAAATTTGACTTCCCAATTTATTTTTCCAGTGCAATTTATTAATATTATATATCTTTTTTTCTAATAAAATTTACAGAAGTAGGAATTCATAAACATGGAATTGAATTGAAAACTCTAACGACTGGCCAACTAGACAACAGTACTGGGTGGCTGCAGGTGGGATGGGGACCGGGCGGTGCGCCCCCAACTGTGACAGGGTGAAGGACTCCAGAGTGTGTCCGACATACAGGGCCGGGTTAGACTGACCCTCCTGCCCTAAGGAGGAGCCAGGTCCGGGCACTGGGCCCCAGGAAAAGTGGAACCAATTTCCAAGAAGTTAAACTGTAACTATGGAATTGCCCTAGGCTCTCACCTGCTTATTGTAGCTTCTGCACCCTTGCTTGCGCATCAGCCCACAGACCACCAGAATGTGTGTATGTGTGTGTTCCCTTTAAAAGCTCACTGCCCGACGGCTCGGAGCTGTCTTTTTCAGTCTGTTCTGAGTGCTGGAAGGTGCCAGCTGGCTAATAAAGACTCCCCAGTTCTAAACAGGCTTCAGTGGTCTTTTATACGGTGCGCCCCCCAACACGATCCAGCAAACAGTGCTGAGGTGGCCTGGAACAAAATCGCTCAAACACGACACGGATGCTGAAGAGTCTCAGAAGCAACAAGGCAGTTTCTTTGCACAGGAGCGGGACGGCCACCGAAGGAAGACAAGCAAGAAAGTTTCCTTGGCATTCAGGGCATCAGTTTAACCCGGGCCATGTAAGGGCTGCGGGTGAGTTGCAACGAGGCGTGTGTGTGTGTGTGTGTGTGTGTGTGAGAGAGATCCTTTCTCGGTGAGGTCCCCCCATAAAGGGATCCTCTTTCCCCAAAGAGAAGGCCACCAGCCAGTGTCAGCACCGCAGCGGGGCCGCCGGTTCAAGTCCAGGGCCGGCCTCCCCAGGAGGCTGGTCCCGGGGTGGCGCCGTCGCCGTGCACGCGGAGCGGGACGCACACCCGGGCTGCGGGGGCGCGCCGGCAGCCCGGGCCCCGAGGGCTACGAGGAGGCCGAGGGGCGCCGGGCAGCGCCTCACGGACGGGAGACCAGCGCCCGACGGCCGGCCGGCCAGCGCCCAGGGCCCGGCGCGCGCGGCCCGGGCGGCCTGGCCGGGGAGGCGCTCTGGGCGCGCCGCGTCACGTGGCGCGGTCACGTGGCGCGCGGCCGGGCCGGCGGCGGCGGCGGCGGCGGCTGAGGGGAGGCGGAGACTCGGCCGAGACGTGTGTGTGAGGGGGGCGGGAGGCGGCGGCGGCGGCGCGGGGCTGCTGGAGGCGGAGGCGGAGAGGCGCGGGGGAGCGGCGGGGGCCGCCGCCACGGCCGCCCGCGAGGTGAGGCGCGCCGGGGGCCGCGGTGGCGGGGTGGCTGGCGCGCCGGCCCGCGGCGCCCTCCGAGCGGCGCCGGGCGTGGTGGGCGCGGCGGGGCGGCTGGGCCGCGGCGGGGGGCTTCGGGGCTGAGGCCGCGTCCGATCTGGGGTTCCGGGCGGCTCCCTCAGCCTTTGTTTCGGCGTGGGAGAAGAGGGGGCGAAAGAGGAGTCTGCGCGCGCGCGCGTGTGTGTATGTGTGTGTGTGTGTGTGTGGAAATCAAGGAGGCGTCTGGCTTGAAGCCATTTTTTCCCTTAATTGTAGAGACAGATCCCACCCCCCGCACCCCCGGCACGGGTTCCCCAGGGAGACGGGCGTGCTCCTCCTCTTCCTCCGCGCCGTCTGGGCACTGGGCTCCCCTCCCCGCTGCCCACCTCGCGGGCCTCGTTCCCCGGCCGCCTGTCTGTGCGGGGCGGCCCGGTCACCTGTCGTGGCAGCTGCCTGCAAATGCCGGGCGCCTCGGCCGCTCCGGAGCCTGCCAGGACACTTGGCCTCCTGACCAGCCCCGGCCCCCTTGGCCCTCCCTGTGCAGTCCGGCCGGGCGGGATGCAAAGTTGGACCCGCTGGCGACCCTTGGGCTCCTGTCACGCTGCCCCTCCCCGGTGGGAGGAAGTGGGGCTGATGTCACCCGGGGGACCTGTTCGCTGCGGCCCAGGTGATGGGAAAAGTCTTGGGGGACTTGTCGCCTGGAGGGGTGGGGGAGCTGAGGGGTGTCAGCTCCCTCGGCCAGGGCACTGCACCCCGGACTTGGCTGTTGGGGGGGCCCTCTTGATGGTTGCAACAGTTCAGTACCGGGTGGGTATATGCATGATGCCCACGGCAGATTACCCCAAGGGGTTGGTAGGAGGAGAATGGAAGCCGTCCCTGGATTCCCTTTGTGCCTCTCCCGCCTGTGTCCGGTGTCTCCGCTTCTCCTGGGCCAGAGTTTGGTTTTGGGGGGCGAGGATGGAGGGCGCCCGCTGGGAATGGTGTGGGGCTGCGGGCTGGGCCGTTTGAAGCCCGTTGCAAAAGTGATAGCCACATTTAGAATGGGACAGCCCCACGTGTCCTCCCCTCCCTCGCGATCACCGTTCACTGTTGTGGAAAGGATCCTGTGAAGAAGTTATGAATAGCCAAGCCTGGTGTGGAGCTTCCCAAATGTAGGGAAGTGTTCGTCTGTAGGAGAGAGCGAAACGGGAATTTCTGGCTTTCCTTTTAAGAAATTTAAGAGCTCTGTTTTAGTAAGGGCTAGGAAAGAAGGTGGCCTTTTTTTCCCTTGTGCGATTGGGAGGCGTTGGCCTCTAGACTTGGAAGTAGGTAGGAATGAGGTGGTGGAAGAAGAAATGGTTTTTAACATCCAGGATCTTTGAGCAAGCTGATGGTTCCTCCAGTGCCTGGGAAATAGTACCATCCCGTGTTTACTACTGTGTAGCCCGAGGGAAGGTCCTTGGCATTGGCAGAGGGTGCGTGTGTCATGTTAAACTTGCTTGCTTTCATGCGGAACTGTGAGAGTGACCGCTGGGTGGTTCACACTGTTCCCCTTAGGAACATTGAGCAGGACTTTTTTTTTAACCCACGAAAGGTGGTGCCGGAAGCCTGTTTAGCTGGGCCATCGGCACTGATGCTGCGACCCCACGTCGCCTGCGCTGGAGCACACCTTTGCTTCAGGCCACAGGTTAGCGCTGTGACCGGCTAGTTGGCAGGCTTGCTGCTGGTTCTTGGAGTATCTGAATTCGGGAAGTTTCATTACAGTGTCTCCTGGTCCATTGGGAGTAGATTTGAGTGGCCCTGTTACAGCCATGATTGCATTGCTGTTTAGGTTCCTGGTTAGGATTCTGTGTTTTCATTGTTACCAAAGCCAGACTGCACAGTTGGCCTTAGACCGCAGGGAATGCGTTGTGGAAATGTCAGATTTCCTTTAGGTTATGAGAGTTGATTTGGCTACTAAAATTGAGCATAGTAAACATGCTCTTTTTTGGGGGGGGGGTTGTAAAACATACATGACATAAACTTACCAGTTTGGCCTTTGTGTAAAGCAGTCTGTAAGACGGGAAACGCCGAGGGAGGCTGCAGGTGGCACTCAGGTCCTCGGCCCGCCACCTCGGCGGCAGATGTGATTTGAGTTCTTGCCTCCTGCTTCCGGCCAGTCCTGGCTCTCATGGGTATTTGGGAAGTGAACCAGTGGATGGGGTCTGCCAAATAAATAATTAAAAATCTAAATACAATGATCTTACCTTAAAACAAACATTTTTAGTATTACCAACCCCATAAATATGTTGCATAACAAATAGGATTTTAAAGATGGAGAGCCTGGCTAAATGGCTCAGTGGCTAAATCCTTACCTTGCATGTGCCAGGATCCCATATGGGTACTGGTTTGGGTCCCAGCTGCTCTGCTTCCCAACCAGCTCCCTGCTTGTGGCCTGAGAAAGTGGTAGAGGACGACAGCCCAAAGCCTTGGGACCCTGCACCCTCGTGGGAGACCTGGAAGAAGCTCCTGGTTCCTGACTTCGGATCGGCTCAGCTCCAGCTATTGCCGTTGCTTGGAGAGTGAACCAGTGACCAGAAGATCTTTCTGTGTCTCCTTCTCTGTGAATCTGCATTTCCAATAATAAATAAATCTTTAAAAAACAGTACATTGAAAATAGGTGTTACTGTGGAACTGTGTGGATTTCAAGATTTTTTTTTTGTAGCAAAGTAAATTTACCTTTAGAAAAAGTTTTTAAAAACTTTTTGCTTATTTGAAATGCAGAGAGATGCCAACAGACCTCTCTCATCAGCTTGTTCCTTCTGATGCTCCCCTCAGGCGGGGAGGGCTGGAAGCCAGGAGCTGGGCCTGTGTCTCCACTGGGTGGCGGGAGCCCGGCCTCCTGATGTACCAGCCAGGGTGCCCAGCAGGAGAAGCTGGAACCCAGGCATGTTGCGGGCTGGTGCGAGCCTCGCTCTAAGTGCTGCTCCAAGGACTTGCCCCTGAGCTTCTTGAATTCCTTTTTCCTAGATTTCCTGAAATTGCTATCTTTGTGAGAGTGAAGGATAGGAGCAGATCAAAAAGACCTTTAAGTTTCAACTTTCTAGCCTGGAATCATATAAATAAGTTGTAGATGTCTGACTTTGTTGATTGAATGTCTGAAGTATTAAGCGCTTTTATTTCCTGTTTCCTATGCATTGTTTACTTGATCTAGAATCAGAATGGAGACCAGTGTGTGTGTGTGTGTGTGTGTGTGTGTGTGTGTGTGCGTGCAGCATTGTTTCTGTTGGGTGCCTTCTAGCTCTTTTTGTGATGTATTGGCAACAATTCCTGACTGTCCCAGGGGTTACCAAATGGTTCCATTCTAGTTGCCTTCTTCTCCAGTTTCCTGTTACTTAGTGGAAGGCAGCCTTTATCAGTGATTTTCTTACCTTGATTGAGGTGGACACTGCAGGGAGGATGTGGGAAGTGCCGGCTTGTGTCTGTGCTTTGTCAGTTATTATTATCCTGGGGTCTCTCCTCCATTGGTGTGTGGGTGAGGGTCTCCATCCCCACTGATGTGTGGGTAAGGGTCTCTCCCTCCATTGGTGTGTGACTCAGGGTCTCCCCCTGCCATCAGTGTGTGAGTGAGGGTCTCCCCCTGCCATCAGTGTGTGAGTGAGGGTCTCTATCCATCCCTATCGGTGTGTGGGTATGGGTCTTTCCCCCCATCGGTGTGTGACTAAGGGTTTCCACCCCCATTGATGTGTGGGTCTCCCCCCACCATCAGTGTGTGGGTAAGGGTCTCCCCATGCCATCAGTGAGTGACTCAGGGTTTCCACCCCCATTGGTGTGCGAGTGAGGGTCTCCACCCCCATTGGTGTGTGGGTGAGGGTCTCCCCCCACCATTGGTGTGTGGGTGAGGGTCTCCACCCGCATTGGTGTGTGGGTGAGGGTCTCCACCCCCATTGGTGTGTGGGTGAGGGTCTCCACCCTCATTGGTGTATGGGTAAAGATCTCTTCCCCCATCGGTGTGCGAGTGAGGGTCTCCACCCCCATTGGTGTGTGGGTGAGGGTCTCCACCCCCATTGGTGTGTGGGTGAGGGTCTCCCCCTCGTTGGTGTGTGGGTGAGGGTCTTCCCCCCCATTGCTGTGTGGGTGAATTCTGGTTTAGCACTTAGGCTAGGTTTTGGTTGGTACTTGAAGTTATTTTTTTTTCTCCTGATTTTTAATTTTTTTATTTGAAAGGCGGAGAGAGGGAGGGTTGAGAGAAAGAGATGGATTCAGAGATCGCTAACTGCTGATTTGCTCGCCAGATGTAACAAACGCTGAAGCCAGAATCTGCTCTCCCACTTGGGTGACGGGCCCAGCCACTTGAGCCATCACCTGCTCTCCCACCTGGGTGCATCTTGGTAGGCAGCTGTTCCTGGGTACAAACCTGGACACTCTGATACAGGGTCCTGGTTCTGTGGTCCTTCTGGGGTGCCAGTTGCTCTCTCCGGAAGAGGAGGCTCCTTCTGGGCACCCCTGAACCCTGACAGACCCCAAAGACTCCCATAGCTTCCTTGCTTTGGGACAGCACTGTGTTCCAGACTCACCCTTTGTACTTTATGTTTCAAGCCTTGAAGGCAGAGCAGAGCTTTTTTAAAAGGAAAAATAATTGATTAGTAAACATTAAAATATTTAATTTACCAGTCAGTAAAGAAATGAACTTAAAAGCAGAAAACAAGGGGAGCAGAAAAAAAAGCAAAAAATAAGAAATCGTTCATGTGGGCTGAATGTTTACGTGTCTCCCCTGAATTCGTAGGCTGATGGCTAATCCTCGGGTGTGGTGGTGTGTGGAGCTGGTCCTGGGGAGGTGGTGAGATCACGCTTGAGGACAGCCTGGGGTGGAAGGATCCTCCATGGTCCTTGACCTTAGGCTTCTAGCCTCTAGGGCTGGGAGGCATTTCTGTTGTTGATTTCTGTTTGATTGTATCTGTGGTACAGCCAGCTGTCCAGTATCTGCAGTTTCCATATGTGTGGATTGAACAAAGTGTGAA